TCAATGGCCTTTTTGATTGCTTTTCCTGCCACAACACCAGCTATTAACGGCGAACCTAAAACAGCAGCGACTCCAATGAGCCCTATTTTAGCGGCCTTCTTCAGACTCATTTTTTGGCCAGACAAATCGATCAACTCGCCAGATGAAGGATCCACAAGACCTTGGTCGACTGCTTCCTTCAAAGTAATTTCTGTGCCATATTCTGGATTTTTCAAAGTCAAATGGTCGAATTTTACAATACCTTGATGCAAAGCTATATCAACATCCAAACGAGACCCGTCTGTACTTTCGATAACAGCATCACTCTGATTGAATGAAAGTTCTGATACTGATGAGACTGCTGGCAATTCGCCGGGCATTTCCTCTTCAGTCCTTTTATCGAGAGATTTGTCGTCTGCTTTACCCGCCGATTCATTATGTGTGGCAACCGAACTCGCAGTATCTATTGCATGAACGGGAAGGACTAAAGTTTCTTCATCTCCAACAAGACTTGATTCAGGCGAAACCAAATTGGGGTTTTCGTCGCGTTTCTCGATAGCTCTGAAGGAATCTTTGTTAATAGTGGAATGAATTTCGTGGTCGACGGTAGTTAAAGCTTCTTTAAACGTTTCTGAGGAACCTTCTTGATCAGCATCTGGTTTAGTTTCAATGTGAACGGCAGATGCAGTTTTCGGGTCAGCAGCGAGGCCCACTTGCTCATCAGGAATGTTGGCGTAATCGCCAGCATCCGGTACACGAGAGGCAGATGGAACTTTGACCCCTACTGTATGCTGCGTGTTGCCACCAGCCGTGTCGAGGGCTTCTGCCTCATCCTTCGCTGAACATTGGTCATCAGACACGCGGGCTATGTTTGCAGCTGAAACGGGCGCGAAGTTTTCAACCGAAATGGGAGCTACGTTTGCAGCAGGATCGTGGACTACGTTGTCAGCCAAAATGGGGGCTACGTTGTCAGCCGATACGGGAACTACGTTGTCAGCCGGAATGAAGGCTACGTTGTCAGTTGTACTTTGGGCTACATTGACAGCCGTAATGGAGGCTACGCTGTCAGCCGCAATGGGGGCTACGCTTTCAGCCGTAATGGGGTCTACGCTTTCAGCCGTAATGGGAGCTACGTTGTCAGCCGTAACGGGGGCCACATCAGCCGAAATGAGGGCCACGTTGTCAGCCATAATGGAGGGTTCATTGTGGACCAAAGTAGGAGTGGCTTGGTCTTCAGTGTGGCTTACCGTGCTAATGATTGATAATGCTGTAATTTTGGATGAAGATGCTTCCTCATCAGTGTCAGGTACTTTACCAACCGACAAAATGATTTCCTCCTCATTTGAAAAAGGAATTTTGTTATCGCTCGTTATTGAAGGCGATACTGTGTCGGTAGTTGAGCGAAAAACTGTTGGCGATATCGCTTTCTCTTGAACGCCTAAACTCTCGTTGCTGGTGTTATCCAAGTTGAGATCTACGCTGGAAACTGATTGAACTGGGGCTTTGTCCGTTTTCTTTGCCGTTACGCATGGGCTCTCGTGATCGTCGAACGGTCTAGTAAGTGCTTGTGACCCACATTCTAAATTTATATTTTTCATGAGAAGCTCCTGCTCAGTATACGACTCTGAACCTGGATTTTTACCGCATTCGGAATTTCCTTCAGATCCGACTGAATCAACGTCAGAGTCCTTAATGGCCTTCTGGATGTATTTTGCTGCAATAATTCCAGCTGCTATGGGAGCTCCAGCCATAGCAGCCACGCTAATCAATCCCATTTTTGCAGCATCAGTGAACGATATGCGTTTGCCTGACTTATCGATGTACGCTCCCAAACTGGCGTCGACTGTTTTGGCTACTACAGCTTCATCGTATGTAAGATTTTTCTTCGACTCGGGATCAAGGAACGATAACGATTCGGGTTTTATTTTTTCCGATTTCCACGCTTCAGTCAAGTCAATTTTTCTACCATCGTTTAAGATGACAGAACCCTCGCTAGGATCAAATGCAACAGGTTTTGAGATCAAATTTTGTTTACTTTCATTTGAACTTTGTGAGCGTGCGTCATTTAAATTAGAGTCTGCTTTGTACAAAGACTGACTTTTTGTACTTGATTCACCGAGAGTTTCATTCAAAGTTACACCATCAGACTTTCCATCTATCTCAATGCCGTGTTTAATCTCAAGATATTTTTCTTCGGATATAAGTCCAAGTTTGTAAGCATCTACTAATGGGTATTCTTTACCGGTTTCTGGGTCAGCAATGATCACTTCGGATTCGATAATAGTTTCAGTTACAATGCGAGTTGTACTCGTCCTGTTGAGGGCATCACGACCATCAGAGGCCGACTTCTCACCGGTGAGGGTAACTTCAGTTACGACGGTAGTAACTGAAATGGCATTCTTGGAGCTGTCGTCAGAATATTCAGTTTCAGATTCAGATGGTGCAGCGACGGTCCTTTCACCATGGTTAGACGCATTCCAAGTTGATGAATTATCAGTTCGGGGCTGTGATGACGGAGTTTCTGGATTTGTAGATGTACATTTTGAATCATCCGTCAAGGCGTTTTCATATGACACTTCAATTTCAGACTTTATTTCTATTGATTGGAGAGGGAAGATAGGATCGATACTTCTGAGTACGCAAGCAGATTCCGACAGCTGAGATTTATCATTACCGCTGTTTGAACGATTTTTTATCGATACGGCTTCTCCAACTGCTTTAGCAGCGGCAGCTGTGGCTACAATAGGAGCGGCTATAACTCCTCCAAGTCCAATTAGTCCAAATTGTACAGCCTGACATAATGTAAATTTTATTCCCGATTCACCACAATACTCCCCAGATTTAGAGTCAAATATTCCTTTTTCTTCAGCTTCTCTGACTGTGAGCATGGCACCAGACGATGGATCTTTGACCGTGAGCTCCCCAGACTGAATATCACCTAAATTTAAAATTGATTTAGAATCAATTTCGCCTGAAATACTTCGTGTGTGTGCGTCTGATGAGAGTTCAAATTTGTCAGCAGTTTTTAGAATGATCTCGCGCTCGTTTGTCCGAGATCCACGATATACGATGATAAATTTTTTAGCCAAGGCTTCAGCCAAACTGATACTTTCTTTCGAGTTTACCGAGTAGTGACCAGTCGCATTTAAAATTCTAGAATTGAATGCATTCTTAACAGGGATGTAACTTTCAGTAAGTGAATTGAACACCGAGATATTTGCATGATAGATTAAACCTATTTTAATGCACTCTTCGAAGCTCACCGGTCTATCCGAGCCGACAATGGTAAAAAGCCCTGTTGAAGGATCTAGTAAGTTTTGGTCGATGGCATCGAGTAGATCCCAGGAGTTTACTGGGATGTCAGAAGTCTTCGAGTTGTCTATTCTATCGTTTTCGTGCTGAGTAATACGCGCACGGGTTGTGTCTGATTCGTCAAGGCCTTCCAAGGCACTGTCCTCAGAATCAGCAGGAGACTTTAACTGATCTAGCTCACTGCTTTTTGAAGTGCTGCGCGATGCGTGTCTTTCACAGCTCACATATTTTAACGGAGACGTTGAGTCCGAAGTCAGAGTGGGAGATTCTACGCCAGAGCTACTTGACTTAATAAGGTTTTCAAAGGTACTAGCAACACTAGGGGACTTTGACAATACTTCTGGTACCGTCTCTTTACCTTTTTCTGCAGTATCGGAACCGGGGCTGGCAAACGCGTCCTTTGGAATGTTAAACACAGAATAAGATTCAAAATCACGCGCCGACTCGTCATCGCTATTTTCTCTTCGTCTATCAGCTATTTCTGGCCATTCTTTTGTATGCTCTGTAAGTCGACTTCTGGTCTCTGAAGTGACTACAGTTGTGATAGTTGCCAAGTTCATCAAACGCAAAAGTCTTTGGCTACCTTCCGCCGATATCAAGCTTTGAACAACAGCTGAATCTAATGGTACAGTACACCCAGATGAAGGATCAACGACTTCGCCCGTGGACAGATCCAACCTTCCACTAAGGAGCGAATCCAAAACGGTAAGCTCCCTCCCGTCATTTTCATGAATACCTATGGGCGTGCTCAGAAGCTCGACCAATTTAGGCTGAATGAGCTTCTTCTCGATGGCAGCTTGTAAAGTTATTCGTTCACCTGTTTTCGGATTCATCAGTGTGGAAGATTTCAGATCGACGATGTTTTCTTGGATGGCAGATCTCAATGATATTAGTTGGCCAGAGTAAGGATCGTGTATTCCTTTGATATCAAGCACTGTTGGAGCACTGGGGTGAATAATGAAGCCACGTTCTATAGCTTCAATTAGCGTCATGGTTGTTGCAGACTTCTTATTATGGTACATGCCCTCGGGGTCGATGACCTCGTTGGCGAACGCTTGGGCTAACGTAATTAAAACATTCCTTTCAGTGTCCCATACATAGTTCGCATCGCAATCTATTATACCGTGTCCGATTGCTCGAAGTATGGTCACATACTCCTTTGTCACGGGATTTAGGATTAAATTGTCGTTGCTCAATTCGTTGCAGTCAAAACAATCTGTGAGCGGGAGAGAGCGGTGAATAAGTTTCCGATGGTAAGCATCAATGAACGGTAGCGTTTCTGATGTGGTATTATTAATGTAGACACACTTCGTCGAGTCGATAATGCCTTCAGCGATGGCTCTGTTTAAGGAAACTTTATGTCCGCCCGAGGGATCAGTCACTTCCAAAATTTGTGTAGAAATTAAACCTTCATCAATAGCTGATAACACACTAACAGGTTCGCTTTTTCGTTCGGTCGTCATCATTCCCGTTCTATCGATAGCACCGGAGCCTATGGCGTCGCTGAGGCATGGAATTCTCTGTAAAGAGAAACTTCGAGGAAGGCAAGTTAAGTAGCCACGAGCAAATGCCTGCGACAAAGAAAGTTTAGTTAAAATCTTTGGTAGAGTAAATTCGCCCGTTTTATCATCGACATGACCATCGTTGACAGCTTCGTACAGAGTCATCGGGGTCGCTACAGAAGAGTCGAGCTCGCTACCGTCGCTTACCTTTCTCAGGAGAACGGAGCCGAGGTTAGAAGCTTCTTCCCTAGTGAGAAGTTTGCCCGTTTTAGGATCTTTGAAAGAACCGTCTTCGGGACAAAATATTCCAATTTTCGCGGCCTCGATCACAGTCATAGGTTTTCCAGTATTAGCATCGATCACATCACAAGGCGAGTGTAGTTGCTGATACAAAGCCTTGCTAATGTATTCTCTTTCAAGAGCCTCGCTGAGCGAGAACTCTTCCATGGTGTCAGGTTTTTTGAAAAGACCTTTGGCGAGCATCAGGAAACCTCCAGCAATCGCTTCGGCAACGCTTAGAGGCTCTCCAGTCACTGGGTGTCTCAAATGACCATCAAGTGTCACGGATTTTGGTTTGGATATTATTGTGGTGGTGGTTGTTGTAATGGTTGTTTCTTTAGTCGATAGTGGACTACGCTTGGTAGGTTCAAAATCAACTTCGTCTGGTGAGCTAAGTCTCCTGTCGCGGCCGTTCCTGGAATGGAAAATTATTTTTTAACAGTCGAGTACATGAGAAATATCCAGAAATGCGATCCAAGTGATCCATTAATATTTTAGTAATAAATTTACAAAACGATCAGGTAAGACCAAAAATATAAAAAAAAATACATTTGATCAATAAAATATGGAAAACCAGAACAGTTTTCGAAGACAATTGCACCAGAACATTGAAAAACATAAGTGAAGCGTCTTCTGAACAGAATCTAATGAAAGGAATGAGGATTGAACAAGATAATAACTAATTATAAACTAATGATCGTAACGGAACAATAATTTTCAAAATCCTTCCGACATTAAACTGCAAACTCGTGCTCAAGAACACGGATTAAACATTGATGTCGAGTAAAATAATTATTCAAGTGACGCTCTACCCAGAACCATGTGGATTTACGAGAAGTAGACCAAACGAGCACGTTCTTCAGTTAGTGAATATAACCGATAATATAGAAGATTGCGACGGTACTAGAATTTTATTTGCGAGAGAAGTAACGTACGTCTGTAATGCGGCAGGCACATGCAGAACTCCAATATCTTTAGCAGTGATGTTGAGTTCCGTGCGATAAGTTGTCTCCAGGTTGACGGGCGAAAGCGACTCCAGCGAGAACTGCAAGTTAGGAATGGAAAACATGTGTTAAAGTTCGGAAGAAAATTGCGCATTGATGCGACACCAGGTGGAACAAGTGAAATAAGGATATCTGGAATTCAATCGTTAAAAATTTTGAAATTTTATTTTAATTCTAATATTAATAATAGGTTTCATAAACTCCTGTGGAAAGAGTGGATGAAAAAAACGAAAAAAGTCAGAATATGAATGAGAAGAGAGGCTAAATTCCCATAATGGATAGGATCACAAATGAGCGTGTAAGGGAGTAGAAGAAAAATATCTTCTAGATGAGAAAATTGAGGAAATTAGTTCCCTAAATTGACAAACTTCTCACACATAGAAAAAAGTTCCAACTGATACAAAGTTTCATCATGGACAACGATAACCGAAAAATATGAATACTAGCAATTTTTCGCGACGAAAACAATTATTAACAAAACTGACAACCGTACGTAACAAGAACGCCAAGACTAACTATCATCCATGCAGAGATACGTCGAAGACTCCGCATTTTCAGGCTTCAGCAAAATAAATTTTCAGTCTTAGAACCATAAAAAAGTTTAAATTCATCATGAGATAAATTGCTGAGATTTATTTTCCATTCTCAAGAACAAGAAGCAAATCGCCATGCACAAAGCGCTTGTAGATGCAGAATATTGCCTTGCTATTGGTTAGTATTTCCATAAGTGATTAACTGATCAGAAGTTTGATTACTCGTCCATTTTTTACCAGGCCTTGACCTCCAGTGAGAGTAAACAATTGCTTATACAAAAAAATCATCGCTTCAATTACACACGAAAATTACGGGCCGGTGATTTTTTTTTCTAATTTTATCGATCTAATCATTAATTCTACGCTATGTCCATCAACTTTCACGAAAGTTTTGCAGTTTATTTACTGAATCAAAAATAATGATAATAATTCACATATACGACAAATTTTAGTGGGTTCAAAGTCTTCTACTTTTTTGGGGGAGGGGGGGAGGGAGAGTGAATTAAAGGGTGCTCTTTAGTTTTGAAAATAACATAAATTACAATGGTCGATATGGATTAAAGTCAGTGGAATCATTAAGGTTTTTCGACTGCTTTTAACGGCACATCATTATTGAGAGCGCCGCTGCTCGCTCCATGCAGCTCAGGCAGGCAGAGAGTCAAGGCCAGCCACTGTCGCCACTCGCTGCTTCATTCACAACTCTTCAGCACCACGCCATACTAACACGACCTAGACTCATGAACTTGGACGACGGAAAACATCTGACCGAGAGATATATGCCTGGGAATATTAAAAACGTTGAGATTGAATGAAACGAAAGCACATACGGATGTTTACGTTGATTGTGAGCACGGCACGTGAAGGTAACACAAGACAAGAGCTGGAGCCACCCTCGTCAAGCAATGGAAGTTATGAACGAAAACAACGACGGATCGTGAACTACAGCGAAGACGATGCCACTTTTAATCCATCTTGTGATATTGGCTATGAAACGGTATTAAAGCAAAGGCACCATTGATGTCCAACAAATTAAATGCAACAACTAATGACCCTGACTGAAATTTGATCTTGAAGAACATTAGATCCCAACGAGTGATAAACAGCGGCAACAGCAAAGGATTTAAATGAAATTAGTTGCAGTTCTAAGGTCAAGAGTTTCACTACTAAAATTTGATATGAATCTCTTGATTGCTTAGCCATGAACCTCAACTGGTGAGAGTACAGCCATGCAGTTAGAACTTGGGCTCCTTTCGTCAAGAAGGGATCCGAGTGTCCAAGATAAGATTTCTAGATTGACCTCCATGTACGAACAACTTAAGCTGGTCGTCCTGGGATTAAAGCAGCTTTCATCCAGTCTCTAAGTAAGCTGACAGTGACGGCTCAACAAACATGACCTGTAAACCAATAGCTCAGAAAATGTGACAAAAAATATGCGTTTTTACAAAGGAAATGGCAACGACGCGTAAAAACGCTGTCAGGAGACGCCCAAATTGAGGGCAACGAGCCTTAAATTAAAACAGCCTAGCCGACATAGACTTTGATGAGAGCACCGGAGCTTCACGGGATTTTAAACATGCAACGTCGAAAGAATCAAAAACATTTTCAATGCTAATAAGAATCTTGATTTCCATATAGCACACAGCAAGCATAAGAAACCAGACATTTAACTCGTAAAAATATACATGAAATAAAAAAGATAACAACATAAATTGAATAATTACATGAAACTGAATTTGAATGACGGGTAAAAACGGGTAAAAATACGAGTACTACAAGTTAAAGCCACATACGTTCGTTAAATTCTCAGCCGATGGGCCATCCCGCGATTTAGATTCTTTGTTCACCGTGGAGAGGAGGATGCTTTGGACGTGATCCTTCCGTTTTTTACCTTCGCTCGTCTTTCTTGGTATGGTTTGTTTCGTGATTGTCTGGCTATGTGATTTGGTCGTAAGAACCGTAGTTCCCCTTTTGACAGGCGAATTGACGTATAAATGTACACTTGTTCTCCGGACGCGGGGCTCGGAGCGATTAGGTGATTTACTGTTTCCTCTAACAGTCTTTCTCTCCGGAGTAGGAGCCTTGTCACGGGAAACCTGGTTCTTAGCTGGCTTCGAAGTTGTGCTCAGTTTTTTCTTTGTTGTTAATCTATTTGAGGATTTGAACTCATCAGCGATTTTCTCATCCGTTTTCTTTGTTTCATAATTTCGCAGTGATTTTGAGTATTCGCTTATATGTTTCGTGGAACATTTTAATTGAGAAGACTGGTTCAAAGAATTTTTTCTTTCCATGTTTATGGGGATATTTATTTCTTTCGGAGCAGATTTCTCTTTGGAAGAGCTTAAATGACACGCAGGTGTATCTTCACGTGAATTTCTAATGAATTCCTGAAATCGTCGTTCAGAATCTTGAACGTAATTTGAGAATGAATTCATTTGGGTGGCAATTTCGGAGAATATAATTTTATCATTATGCGCCGTAGATTGCCCTATTTCGTGACAAATTTCTGACATATCTTTTTTCGGAGTAACAATGGTTTTTCCCCTCAGCGGTTTTGAAGTTTCCATTTGAACGGGTACCAAACTGCTCCGATTCAATGTATCGACACAATGTTTTTTCGAAGTGACTCGCAGAGATGGATGAACAGCTGTAGAGGGTTCGTCAACAGGGCAATTGCTTGGAGCAAACTTTTCGGTAGGGGCCTTGGCATCACTGGAGAACATATTGGAGCGCCCCGACGACCTGGTTTCAAATGACTTGCTTTCAATGCGACTGGACGAGCTCATCACTTCGGAAGATGAGGACACAGTGAAAGTTGACTTCATTGAATCGAAGTGACTGGCACCATCAAGCCATCTTAGCACTTGCTTATTTCTTGGAACTGTGGCTCTTGTCTCTTCATTGCCCACGTTTGTCGAGGCGACTCTTGTTGCACTGGAACCTTGGTCCGCACCGGGAGGAGCATCGCTCACTCTGCGACTCAGCTCATGACGAATACTTGCACTTGTTGGAGGGTTTCTGAGTGATCGATTCGCCTCGCGATCCCGTTTGAATTCGCTGTACTTGTAACTCCGGCGCACAGGAGAAATGTCGGATCGAGTATCGTCTAACAAGTCGGCACTAGGACTGTTATCTCCTGCACCGATGTCCGAAAGAGCTTCTTTACTATAAGCCAGCAAACTAGAATTCAAAGTCTTGCAAGGAAATGGGAGAATTTTTTGAGGGGAATTAAACATGCTACGGTAGAAGCTAAAGAGGCTTTCGCTGCTGCTGTAGCGGTACGAAGAGGAGCTCACGATGGACTGTCGAGAGGAGTAGGTCTCTTCGCGCTCCTGGCTGAGACTTCTCCAAAATCCATGACCCGCCATTTTATGGATTCATGAAAGAAGCACTTCAATAAAACCATGAAAAAGATAACACCTCAAGTCACACTTTTAATGATAGATCTTGATATTATCATAAAAGCCAGCTGGGAAGTTTAGAAAGTTCTAAATTATTATTGTTTGGTGTTAAGGAGATTTATGTGGGCCAGATGGTGACCTCATGAAGAGGGTCAAACCGACTTCTGCCGTGCATTCCTCATGGCCAAGTACGACAATCAACAGTCCTTATAAGTTCACCGCAGCGACAGACCTCACAAGTTCACTCGCATCACCTACTCCTTTTATTTTTCAGTAGGATGAAAGCGCGAATTCTTGACGAGATTTGGGATCTTGAACTGATTTATTCACTTTCAAACTAGAAATAATTTGAATTGACGAGTGAAAGAGGGAGCAAAAATTAGGCTTCGTCAGAATTTGTATACCATATACGTCGGTTGAGATAAGAGCTCAACAGACAGAACATGCATCAAGAGCTGATCGGTGAAGAGTAAGGCGACACTATCTCCTTCAGCATTGTTAGCTAATTTTTACAGCTGTCAGTTAATTTTTTAGGTCGCTGTCAACATGCGAACGATTTCACTATAAGTAGGCGTTACAGTACAGATAAAATAGAGGTTACAGTAAAGAAAGTCATTAAACTCCATTTTAAAAATATAAAACCTCCTCCTTCCTCCATACACCAGTAAATAACGTCAATTTTACTCATTTTTCGTCAATTCGTCAATTTTACTCACTTTTTCTCAATAATAAATTGTGTTACCTACTTTACCCATTGCTCCATTACATCGCACAAGTTTAAGTGCAATTTGGAAAACTACAGCATTACCCACGACTGAACCAACTGAAGTACAATTCCACTCATCAACCAACTATAATACAATGCGCAACTGCAGCAACTGAAGTACAATATTTGGCGGCGTCAGGTTAAGCAGAATTCACAACAGTGAAATTTTTGAAGTATATTCTATAACTGCGCCAGCTGAGATAAAGCTGTGAACACGTATAAAGCTTCGCCAGCTGTTCCGTGGCTGCAAATTGCCAAGTCACGCCGCAAAAGGGTGAGGTCAGCTCTCTTTCAGACGTCAGCTGACGGCGACAGCATCACAAGCATGACCTAAAGCTCTCACC